TCCTTGGTTGTGGCACCGACCCTTCGAGAGAGGATCGTGGCAGAACAACCAAAGGATAGATTTTTGTGCCGGATGAGAGAGCTAGCTCTGGCTGGCCGGATCGGAGGTTTTACGGTAGCACCCGATGGAGCCTTGGTCTTCGAGCAGCGACTTTGTGTACCGAGAGTGCCCGCTATTCGTAGAGAGATCTTAGAGGAGGCCCATAACATCCCGTACTCTATTCATCCAGGGAGTACGAAGATGTATCAAGACCTGAAAAGGTCTTTCTGGTGGAGAGGTCTCAAGAGAGATGTAGCGAAATTCGTCGATCACTGCTTAGTGTGTCAGAGAGTCAAGGCCGAACATCAGAGGCCGTCGGGTTTGACTCATCCACTCGAGATTCCCGAGTGGAAATGGGAGAAAGTCACGATGGACTTTGTAGTTGGTCTTTCGAGGACGAGGAGTGGGAATGATTCCATCTGGGTTATCATGGATCGTCTGACTAAGACCGCACACTTTTTGCCAGTGAAGACGACTATGAAACTGAAGGAGTATGCCAAACTATATATCCGAGAGATAGTCCGACTCCATGGAGTACCCGTGTCGATCGTATCAGACCGAGACACACGGTTTACTGCACGGTTTTGGAATTGTCTGCACAGAGCTATGGGCACGATACTTCATTTCAGCACCGCTTACCATCCCGAGTCAGACGGGCAGTCCGAGAGAACGATTCAGACACTCGAGGACATGTTGAGAGCATGTGTTCTAGATCGAGGTACCTTGTGGGAAGATTCGATGCCATTAGTGGAGCTCGCCTATAACAACAGTTATCAGGCGTCCATCAAGATGACACCATACGAGGCTTTGTATGGGCGAAGTGTTCGGACACCGTTGCAATGGGATGAGGTGGGCGAGAGGATGATTCTCGGTCCCGAGCTTATCAAGAAGGCATTCGAGCAAGTTCAAGAGATCCGAGCGAGAATCAAGGCAGCGCAGGACAGACAGAAGAAATATAAAGACAAGCGTAGGAAGGATCTGGAGTTCGAGATCGGTTATAAGGTATTTCTGAAGGTCTCACCGATGAGGGGTGTGATCCGGTTTGGGAAGAAAGGGAAATTACGACCTCGTTTCATCGGACCCTTCGAGATACTCGAACGAGTCGGCGACCTTGCCTATCGGTTGGCTCTACCCCCAGAGTTGTCGGGAGTTCATGATGTTTTTCACGTCTCCATGTTGAGACGATATGTATATGATCCCGGGCACATAGTGAACTTTGATGAGTTTCAGGTCGGGCAGGACTTGACATACGAGGAAGTACCGGTGGCCATTTTGGATTGAAAGGTCCACAAGTTGAGGAACCGGGAAATTATACTCGTCAAGGTTCAGTGGAGTCGCCACGGCGAGGACGAGGCGACTTGGGAGAGTGAGAAAGAGATTCGGATTAAATATCCGAACTTTGTATTTTGAGTTCTTTTATGT